AGAGAGAGTTTTTTAATCTATTTTTGATTTTTTAGGAATTCTTTTTTTTCCTATAAACTACTTACAAGTCAACTCAGACATACTGAGTTACTCAACCCACGCAAGGCTCGAGTCCGAGTCAAGTTTATGATGGTACCATTTCTTGGCCCTTCTCAAAATGTCTTGTATCACTACTAACAATAACCCACACAAGGCTCGAGTCCGAGTCAAGTTTATGATGGTACCATTTCTTGGCCCTTCTCAAAATGTCTTGTATCACTACTAACAATCAGAGGAGACTGTCTAAAATTTGAGTGCCTCTTCAAGATACTCGAAGGGTTGGCACTAGCAGTGACATGAGTGTTGTATGCTTATGTTTCTAAGTGTTGGCTCATGCTCCAGAGAACCATCAAGAAGTTGAGGGTGGAAACAACGGGTAGTTCTAAGCTTTTTCCCTCAAATTATTTTCTTAGAACTTGGAACAAATTATTTGGTACTTTGATTATCCAACTCCAAATAATTGGGATAAGGTTTGGATAAAGATGATGGTTTTGATGTACATATAACGATGATGTTTTGTTATAGAAAGTATATATTATGCAGATATAATATCTTATATTTATGGTAGGATTTGTATATTATAGGTGTCATTAATTTGTATTGCAGGGATATTGATATCTTTCTATTCATATCATGTATATTATATTTATACAGAACATGTATATTTCTTATGATCAAATATACACAAAGATTTCTCTCCATAAAGCTTGATATTCTATCATGGTATTAGAGCACCATTGATCTTAGGTTTTTTCTTCGATAAATTTAGAGGTGGGCTTGGTGTTCATGGTTGAGATAGATCGGATTTTGAGGTCATTTCCTTGGAGGAATTTAGAAAGAGAATACAATGCTCAGGACCTATCCTCTTCAAGCCTGTTTTTAACAAACCCATTTTACCAGGTCTCACGGCAACATTGACTCTATCTCAGCACCTCTCCTCTCCAAGCCATATCACAATAGAAGACGTCCAAGAAATGATCTGACAAGCTCTCTCTGCTATGAGCAATACATCTGTTGTTGCATCTGCTTTGCCAAGAGCCTTAGGTACAAAACATTGGTTCATTGATTCTGATGCCTCTAACCACATGTCATTTGATTCTAGTTTCATTTGGTTCAGTTGAATCCTCTCAATTGTCCCTCCCTAATTTGTTGGTTCTCAATTTATCACTGAATCTCATTTCTGTAGGACACTTGTGTGACCAAAGCTTTGATATTATTTTATCATCTTTTAGGTTGTGTTATAGATGATTGCTTGATAGGGAAGCAAATCGGGATAGGGCGTAAGGTTGGTAGACTGTTTGTTTTGGAGGATTTGCATATTCCACGGCATCCTAGGGGTTCTCTACTCGTTGATTTAGCTAGTTCGTTGTCTTCCTTTTCAATTTGGCATAGTAGGTTAGGCCATGGTTTTTTTCCTAGGTTGAAATATTTAATGTCAACTAGCAAGTTGAGATTTGTACAAACCACAAATATTATTGGTTGCAGTATATATACATTTATATTTCTTCTTCCCATTTTGATATCATACATTCTGATCTGTGGGGTCATGTTTCTGTTCCATCCATGAGAGTGATCGTTATTATGTTATTTTTGTTAATGACTATTCTCGTTACACCTGGGTTTATTTGTTACATTGTAAGTCAAACTTTTATCAAATTTATGATGAATTTTCTACCATGATCAAGACCCAGTTTTAAAAAACTATTAAAATATTTCATTATGATTCTAGTAGAGGATACTTGTTAAAATATTTCAAATGTCTTCTCAAGTCTCATGGAACATTGGCTCAACTATCATATCCTGACACACCATGGCAGAATGGTATAGCAGAATGTAAACATCATCATATCATTGAGACGGCTCGTATCTTACTGCTTTCCTCTTCTATTTTGCGTAAATTTTGAGGAAGGGCTATATACACTTTTGTTTATGTCATCAATTGTATTCCATCATCTATTTTAAGTGGCATGTCTCCTTTTGAGCAACTTTATCCATGTAGTACTAATTATTCACAACTTGGTATTTTTGGATCAACATCTTTTGTTCTCTTATCCAAAGTTGAACAAAACAAGTTGCCCAAGAAATTAGCCATTTGTGTATTTTTTTGTTCAACAAAAGGGTTTTCGATGTTATGATCCCATTTCACAGAAACTGCGTACTTCACGCCATGTGACCTTATGGGAAAGTATATCATTATATTATCTTCCGCGTTTTCGTCATCTCGCCCATTCATCTTT